AAATGCGCAAATCCCAGGATCCCCTTGATCACAAATGTTCTGGGTTTTCGTCGTCCCCCCCCCCCCCAATTCCCACATCTTCCAACACTTTTCTGGGAGTCGACGGGGCCCAATGGCACACAAACAAATAGCCCTGTGCCGATGATGAAAAAGGACCCCCCCTTTCCAGGCTTGAGTTGATGATCCGCGGCCAAGAAGAGTTTGGTCAGGGGCGCGGGGCGCGGAGGCCGAACTTTTTCTATCACTGTGAAAAGTTCACTATCGAGGTAAACGTCCTTCTTATGTGAAAACTTCACCATCGAGGTTAACTCAAGGGGCCCAAGGGCACAGAAAGAAATGCACACAAATCCCAGGATCCCCTTTTTTTACATATTTTCTGGGTCTTCGCCATCCCCCCCCCCATTCCCATATCTTCCAACACTTTCCTGAGAGTCGACGGTCAATTGCGTGCCTGTGCCTTTCTTCCCTTCCTGGGTCTCCCCGTCCTCGTCCTCGTCCCTCCCCTCCTGCCCTCCCCGAGGAGAGCGACGTGTCTCCATATCTCGGCCCTGCATGCTACCGAGCCCGCGCTCGCGAAAGACGGTCGCCGGCAGGTGCGCTTCTGTGTGGGCTGCCCTCTGCTCTCTCGTTCGTGCCTCGGTCTGGACCTGCGCCCCCCCGATGGCGGCACCTCCTTCCGACGCTGCGCCGTGCAGACGCGGCGTCGTGAATGGATCCCCCGTCTCCTCTCCCCCCCCCCCAGGAGGAGGAGGAGGAGGAGGAGGAGGAGGAGGAGGAGGAGGAGGAGGAGGAGGAGGAGGAGGAGGAGGAGGTGATAAGATCAATCCCCCGTCTCCTCTCCCCCCCCTCCTCCTCTCGGGTCGGGCGAAAGGGGGGGATAGCCAAGGGGGGGTTCGAGAATCAGCTCACGTAGCTGATTTTCCCGGCGCCTCGCGGCGCCGGAGGCGGCCATGTATCGAGAAATGGGCCCCTCGGCGAGGCCGAAACCAGCTGCAGGCGGCAAATTTCGTAACCCCCCCTTTCCCAATCCCCCCCTTTCGTCCCCCCCGTCTCCTCCCGGTACCCCTCGTCCCCTTCCTCGGCATCCTTGTCGGCGCCATCGCCTTCGTCCTCAACGTCACGGTCGTCGCCGCCGTCGCCCACGCAGTCGTCGCCCTCCCGTCCTTTCCTCACGCAGAGTAGCGCAAGGACTGGTGGGGAGGAAGAGGGAATGAGAGGAGGAAATATCGACCTGGGAAGATGATGATGCGCTCTCGCAGCGGGGTACCAGAAGCCTCAAACGCTGCATCGCAGGGGAATGGCCAGAGAGGGTTACCTCAACCTCACCCACCTCCCCTCCTGCGGGGCATATCACCGAAGCCGATCAAGCGAGGACGGGGGCGTCCACCTGGTCCTCGCCTCTGCCTGCTAGGAGGCAGGGTATGGGGGAATCAGTCGGCGCTGCCGACGAATGAGGGCGGGGATGATGTGGTCAGAGCCTTAGCATCAGGAGCATTGAACAGGGCACGAAATCCCTTTGGGCCCCAGTGACGCATGGATTCTCGAGGAACGTCCGAGGAACTACCGAAGAAAGCATCCACGACGCCTGAAGCCCCTTCCGACACCAACGTGGTCCTTGCTCAAACGCTCACCGCCTGGGGAAAGCCCGCCCTGGCAGCCTAGAAAGAGACGTCACCCTCGCGAGGCCAGGAGGCCATGTCTTTTTGTAGCACCCAGGGCATGATGGAACCAAAGCCATTCGGACAGTCCACTTGGGAGGGCACGCGACGAGGGTCGGCGCTTTCGAGTTTCCGAAATGGTGCCTGGCAGCATTGGTGGTTGAGCCAGTGTGCAAAAACAGTTTGAACCACCACAATACATGAAACAACAATTCTCGACCACCATTTCGTAATCCCACATGGCGGTTGATTGGACGGGGATCCTGGGTGGACCACCTGCATCACCAGCCAATCACCATGCACATTCCGAAATGGTGGTGAGGTCTAGCTGGGTGACTTCCAACTGCGGAAGCAGGCAACAATAACCGCCGTCGCACTAACCACCGAGCCCGTCAGTACAAACGCTGACGGGGGTCACCCAATTCCTCGAGGATCTACTGACCTGGGTCAATGCACACCAGGGTCAACCAGACCTCGCAAGATCCTGCAGGATCCTGCACGCAAGCCCGGGTAAATGCACCCCTGGCTCTTCAAGATCCTGCAAGATCTAGCGCTCTGACCGACTCCCGTTTGCATTGATAGAGACCTCCTAGATGGGGTCCGAGTAGATGGGGTCGGAGGGTCGCGCCGCACCGACAATATATCGCCGATGCATCGGCGATGCATCGGCAATGCATCGGCGATACACCCGCGACGCCGGCGATGCATCGGCGAAGTCGGCGTGGAGAAAATCTGGCTCCACATCGAGCCGCATCGCCGATGCATCGGCGATGCGGCGAGATCCTCCGACCCCATCTGCTCCGCCCCCATCTAGGAGGCTTGGATAGTCAGCACCCCCCTCTTGGCCGTCCCCGGGTCTCGAGGCTGCCGAGTTCCCTCCGCTCCCCTCTGGCCGGCCCAGGCCTGGGAGCCCTGTCCGGGGGCCGCCCGCTCCTGGCCCCCCCCCGCCCACCGCGGGACCCCAGGAGGACGAGGAGGAGGAGGAGGAGGAGGAGGAGGAGGAGGAGGTTGGGGAGGAGGGGGAGGAGGAACGAGGAGGAGCGAGGAGGAGGAGGAGGACGCCCACCGGCCACCCCGCCCCGCGCCCCGGAGCGGAGCGCAGCCGAGGCACGGCCACAAGAAGACTGCTCGTCGAGAGTGTGAGCCCCTTCGCCGAGGGCCCCCGCGCTACATATGTGAAGGGGCCCCAGGACACACACACAAATGAATACACACAAATCAAATATTTCCCCATATTTTCCATATTTTTTCCGGGTTGTTTGTCTCCCCGCCCACTTCCCATATTTTCCCATATCTTCCTGGGACTCGACGATTAATTGTGTCTGTGTGTTTTTTCCCCTCCTGAATGTAGAAGTAAGATTAGGTCGGGCATGACCCCCTGCAGGCGGATTTTGGACGACAGAAAAAATAGTCCAACATGGTGAAGAAAATGGTGAAGAAAGTCGTCCCCAGACTATGTTTTGACTACTTCTTGAATATTCCTCCTGTAGAGGGACAGGCCCGACCGAAAGGTAAGGGCATACCACGGTGGAGAGTCCCAAAGCGAAGAACACAAGGGCAGCCTTGAACGGCTATGGCTGTTCTTAGTCCTCGCGCCAGCTGTACGCGGCCTCCACCTGGCTTCAGGGGCAACGACAGGGGAGGAGCGGCTGAGGGGGGAACATCGACCTGGAGCGGGCGATACACCCTGCGAAATGCTTAAGAAATCATGGGTTAAGAAATTCATAGTCTCAGAACTTGAATAAAAACCCAAAATGTCCATTCAAATCTTAGGATTTGCATTGAAAAGTTAAGAATAATCGAGACTCTGGACGAAAACTTAAGTTTTCTTAAGCATGGCCTAGGGTGTACATCGCCGATAATGGATCGGCCATGGGCCCCCGATAGCGAGTCCGCACGTTCCTCGGCGGGTCGGGCTAGCGGGCCCCTTATCCGCGATGCAGGAGCGATCGGGGGTCGATGCATCCCCCCTTCGCCTATTCCCCCGTTGGCGTTGCCCCCGAGGGCTTGGCCGGGGAGGCATGACACCGATCCTGGGCCCGAGCTCGGCCCAACCAATGTCGGCGAGGGAGCCAGCTGGCCCCCGATACCTGGCGGCCGGCCCATGCTCTTTGGAGGGGGAAAAGCGGGGACCATGACCAAGACTGAACGCGGAATCGTCGTTCCGACCTGGGTCACCGTCGATCTTGGTCAGCGCCCATTCGTGGATCATCCTCGCGACTCGGCGACGGGCGACCTGGGCCATGACCAAGGTCGGCGTCCACAAGATCCCGCGACAGCTTGGTCATGGTCCTCGTCCCCTAGGGACCTAGCAGATGGAATACGAGGATCGCGCCGCATCGCCGATGCATCCCTGCATCGGCGGCGTCGGCGCGGAGGAAGTCGAGCCCCCCATCGCGCCGCATCGACGATGCGTCGGCCATGCGGCGCGATCCTCCGACCCCATCTACTCGGACCCCATCTGGGAGGCCCAGATTCCCTCGACCCTTGCACGCGACACGGCCATGGCCGACCCAGGCCAGCGCTACAGTAGGAGCTCGACCACAAGAAACCTTCCACAAGAAACCCAACCCTGAGACCCCGGGACCTCCACTGATTTTTGGTGTGGGAGCGTCACGCTTTCCATAGCAAGCAGCAAAACTATCAAGACCCAAGAAGCCCAGGGCACCCTGGAGGCAAGCAGGTTGTTCCATGGCATCGTTTCCCACTGCAGCTCAGGCCAGCGCGTCCACTCGCATTGGCGCGGCGCGCCGACGCCGCTCTCATTCGGAAAACCAACAAGTACCGATACCGCTACTCCCCAGACCTCTCCCAGGGCGCGTTCTGACCAGGATTTCGAGGCACGTCCAGTGGTGGCGACGAGGGCCTCCCAGGAGGCCCGCAAAAGGGCAAAATGGGCCAAGGGGCAGCAGTAGATGGGCGCCTTTTCCTCCTCCGACCCCAAGTGGCGCGGCGCGCAGAAGCTGAGTATCGTTTAACCAATCCCCATCCCCAGCGGCGTGGCCTTGGACCCACTGGCCGATTTACCCCCGTAGATGGGGACATAGGTCGTTCCCTTCGAGCTTCGAGGCGTGCATCCCCAACCGGGGTGGTAATTTGGTGGGGGTCTCGAAGGGGATGGGGATGGAGGAGGCGGGATGATGATGAGGAGGAGGATGAGGAGGGTTGAGGCGGAGGAGGGTGAGGAGGAGGGTGAGGAGGAGGAGGAGGAGGAGGAGGAGGAGGAGGAGGAGGAGGAGGAGGAGGAGGAGGAGGGAGGGAGGGAGGGAGGGGGGAGGGAGGGAGGGAGGGGAGGAGGGAGGGAGGAGGGAGGGAGGGAGGGAGGGAGGGAGGGAGGGAGGAGGAGGAGGAGGAGGAGGAGGAGGAGGAGGAGGAGGAGGAGGCGCTCTTTTCGTCGGGCGCGCCGTCGCGCGGGCACGCGCCCGCAGGCCCCCGCGGCGCGGGCGGGTCTGGCGTCCAGCCTGGCTCGGCATCCGGCGGGGCCCCGCCCTGGGCAAAGTCCTCGGACCCCCCGCGGCGGAGGGCCTCGGAGGGTCGTGGGCTGAGCTGCCCGCAGGTCCTTCGAGCAGGGGATGGACTGAAGAGCTGGCTCGCCCCAACATTGATGTGTCGTCGAAACTGTGAACACCCTTATCCGTGTATCCATACGTATATATAAGTATATAAATATTAATTCATATCGGTGTATGAGTATATGATTAACCGCATGCCGATGATAATAAAGGGACCCCCCCCTTCAGTGTTTAGAGTTGATTATCGTCGCCCTATACAAAATTCAAATTGGGCGGCGAGCGCTGAGGCCGAACTTCATTATCACCTCGAAACGCTATGTTGAGATAGCAACATCAAGCGATGTTGATATAGCAACATCAAGCGAAGCGATCACACTTTTTCAGGATGTGTCAAGCGAAACCAATAATTTTGGGAGGCAGACTCAAACGAAACGAGCAATGTTCTTATTATTATTCTACTTTCCTCTTCTTCTTTTATATTTCTATATGTCCTCACGCTCGCCTGAACTTTTTTATCCCTGGGGTTGATTATCCATGGAAAATGAAGCACATGAGCTACCCTACACGAGCACTTTTAAAAATCAATTTTCATAAAGCGTTTGTGCATTAAAATTGATAGATTTGGAACTTTGGATATTTCCTTTCTTCGTCCTCTTCTTATTATCCTCTTCTTCTTTCTTATTATTCTTCTACTGTATTCTTCTTCTTTTATATTTCTCTGTCCCCACGCTCGCCTGAACTGTTTTATCTCTGGGGTTGATTATCCATGGAAATTGAGGCACATGAGCTACCCTACACGAGCACTTACAAAAAAACAATTTTCATGAGAGATAAGCCATTGTTGAGGATATTTCTATGAAAACTAAACGCCAAGGATGTCTCAAAACGTGCTCGGCTTGGTCTCCTCTGGATCATCTCTTACTTCGAGATTATGCTGAGGTCTGCTGGGCTACTTTTATTATCTCTCCCTGAACCCCGAACTTTATTATCCCCTAGTGTTTATTCTCACGGGCATGAGGTTATGCATGCAGCACGTACATACATACATATATATACATACGCACCTACATACACACATACACACATGCATACATACATGCATCCATACATCCATACATACATCCATCCATCCATCCATCCATCCATCCATCCATACATACACACACATACACATACATACATACATACATACATACATACATACATACATACACACATACATAACTACATACATACAGCCACACATACATACATACATACAAGCATACAAACATACATACACACATACATACAGGCATGCATGCATGCGTGCATGCATACATATACGAACACCAATGCATACACACGGACATGCGCACATGCATACATACACATGCATGCATGCATGTATGCATATCTACATACACACATGCACGCATCCATACCTACGTACCTATACTCATGTATACACATGTATGCATTCATACATACACATGTGTGTGCATGCATGCATGAATACATGCCTACACACCTATACATACATACATACATACATACATCCATACATACATACATACATACACACATATATACACATACATACATACACACATACATGCATGCATGCATGCATACATACATACATACAGACAGACATGCATGCATGCATACATACATACACACATACACGCATACATACATACATGCATGCATACATACATCCGTACATACATGCAAACATGCAGGCATGCAGAATGCACACACATATTCATTCATACATACACACAGACAGACACAAACACATACATACAAACAAACAAACGAACACGCATACAGACAGACCGACAGACAGACAGACAGACAGACAGACAGACACACAGACCGACAGACATACACATGCATGCATTCAAGCATGCAGCCATACATACATACATACATACATGCGCACATGCATACATACATGCATACATACATACAAGCATGCATGCATGCACACATACATACATACGTACGTACGTACGTACGTACATACATACATACATACATGCATACTAGAACCATCGCGCGCGCTCGGATCCTAGCTGGCCCCAGGCCTTGACGAGTTCACTGCTCCACTGAAGTAGTGGACCACAGTCCACGCATGCCAATCTGCATTCCGAAAGGCCTTCGAGGAAAATGGTTGTGTAGGGGGGCGGAGGACGTATGAATCGGGTTCCCAGAAGGCCTTCTGGGAGCATGGGTTTTGGGCGTCTTGGGGAGCCTGTAGGGGCGTGCCGTCGTCGTCGTCGTCGTCGTCGTCATCGTCGTAATGTCGTCGTCGCCTATTGGGGCGCGCCGTCGTCGTCGTCGTCGTCGTCGTCGTCGTCGTCGTCGTCGTCGTCGTCGTCGTCGTCGTCGTCGTCGTCGTCGTCATCTTCGTCGTTTCGTCGTCGTCGTCGTCGATTCAAGAGGGCACTTGGGGCAACTTTGTGCGAAACCAACTGCGAAGGGCCGCGAGAAGGCGATCAGTCATGTTCCCAATCAACTTCCCAAACAACTCTCCTGTAGCATGATGGTACTTCGAAGCCTCCGGAGACTCGCGGGCCCATGATGAACCATGTCCCCGGAAAGCTTTCTGGGGACATGGTTTGTTGGGGTGTGTTGGAGGGTCTCTTGGGCGTTCCCTGAGGGCCCCTTGGGGGCCTTCGGGAACTTTCGGGCCCATGATGAACCATGTCCCCGGAAGGTTTCTGGGGACTTGATTCCTTGGGGTGTGCCTCTGGGCCCTCTCTTGGGGAGCTCTTGGGGCACAGTTGGGTTGTCTGGGGAGCCTCCTGGGCCGTCTTGGGGCCCTCTTCGGGGCCTCCTGGCCCGTCTTGGATTAATCTGAAGGGCCTCCGAGCGAGGCCGTGAGGGAGCGCTGGGAAGCGGGGAAAGCAAGAACGCCTACATCCTTCAAAAACCATCGGGAAATTAGTGAATCTTGCCTCCCAGGGACTCTTGGGGAGCTTCTTGAGTCTGTCCTCGAGCGTGTTCGAGTCCTCGTCGGCCGTCTTGAGGGCAGCTTGGGCGTCTTCGGGGCCTCTTGGGGCCGTCTAGGGCCCCCTCGGGACCTCCGTTAGCCTGTCGTGGCCTGCTTCGGGGCAGGCCCGGGCCGCCTCGGGATCCCTCTGGGCCTTCTCTTGGCGTGCTCATTGGGGCACAGTTGCGGGTTGTCTGGGGAGCATCCTGGGCCGTCTTGGGGCCCTCGTGGGCCTTCTTGGAGCGATCTGAAAGGCCTCCGAGGCCGTGAGGGAGCGCTGGAAAGCGGGAAAAGCGAGAACGCCAAAATCCAACACGCTCGGAAAACGAGTGAATCTTGCCTTCCAGGGCCCTCTTGAGGAGTCCGTCCTGGAGAGTGTTGGAGTCCTCGTCGGCTGTCTTGAGGGCATCTTGGGCGTCTTGGGGGCCTCGTGGGACCGTCTTGGGTCCTCTCGGGACCCCTTAGCCTGTCGTGGCCTGCTTCGGGGCGGGCTCGGGCCGCCTCAGGAGCTCTGGACCCCCCCCGCACCCCCTGGTGGGCACCGATTGGGGGAACAGGCAGCGGCCCGCCCTCCCCCCCCCCGGGCCTACTCCGAGATAGAGAATCATGTTCCCGGGAAGCTTTCCGGCAGCATGATTTGTTCGGCTCTCTAAGAGGGGGGCCTCTGGGGGCTTACCGAGAGGCTCCTTTTGGCCTTGTCGGCAAACATATTGGAAACATGGTTGGGGCGGCGGGCGGAAGCCCAAGGAAGAATGTTCCGGGAAAGCTATCTGGGAAATAGGATTTACCGAAGTGTCTTGGAGGCCCGCAGGGGGCTTCCCTCGGGGTCCCTTGGGGGCCTTTTGGGGCTTCTGGGAGGCCTCTTGGGAGCCTCACGGGGCTTCTTGGGAGCCTCTTGATGGCCTCCGGGGGCGCCTCTCAGGCCGGAGACCTCGAACTGTCGCGCTCTTCGGGCCCTCTTGGGTCGCTCTTGGGGCTCTCTCGGGGCGCTCTCGAGGCCCTCTTGACTTATCTGCGGAGCCTCCTGGGCCGTCTCTCGGCTTTCTTGGGAGCCTCTTCGGCCGTCTTGGAGCGATCTGAAGGGCCTCTGACGCGGTCCGGGACCGTGGGGAGGCGGAACATGGGAGAGCGTAAGAATGCTTCAAAAACCATTGGGAAATGTGTGATTTTCGGCTTCTGGGGCCCTTTGGAGGGGCCTCTGGAGGCGCTCTTGGGGCGTTTTGGCGGCGTCGTCGGCCGTCCTGAGGCCATCTTTGGCTTGTCCGGGGCCTCTGGGGGCTGTCTGTGGGCGTCCTGGGAAACTGGAAATCATGTTCCTGGACGGGCTTCCGGGCACATGATTTCGAACGGGGCCCTCTTGGGCCTCCCCGAGGCCGTCTTGGGGGCCTCCTGCTTGAATCACCACCCTCCTTAGTAAGTGCTTGCGGCAGATATAAGCGGATACACCACTTACAACCTGTTTAAGTAACTTGCTTAGGGCGTTGCTAACCAGGTTGGGTAAGCTGTTTGTAACCAGGTTAGCGAACCAGGTTAGCGACCTCGCTAACCTGGTTAGCTAAGTGGGCTAACCTGGTTAGCAGGGGCCCCTCAGGGCCCCCCGAACTGGGCCTTCGTGGGCCCGAAATCATCCAGCCACAAACCCTTACTAAGAAGGGTGGAGGTTCAAGAGGCTTGATTCTCCTTCCTCATCCTTATTCCTCCTCCCTTCGCCTCCCCTCTCCCCCCACTACGGGGCGCGGTGACGACGTGGCAGGGACACGGTGGGGGGGTCAGCCGAGACGACGGTGACGACGATTGCAGGCGCCCTTCTTTCTATGCTGCTACTACTACTACTGTTGTTCCTAGGAACGACAGTAGTAGTAGCAGCATTTTTTCTCAGCCCCGCGCAGCCCTGAGCTGGAGCTTCGGAGGAAAAAGGACAGTTGAAACCTGACCCTCAGCAGCGGGCCAGTGAATGCAAGGTTCAAGGATGCTGCTGGTTGGGTAAACACGTGTTTGCCGCGAAACCT